TCTATATGTAGCCAAAATGGTAACTGCCACTCCCAAGATGGAGGTATCAGGCAGAGTCAGCATAACCTCAAAGTTTGCAAGACAAAAATGCTGCTGCCCTTACAGTGCTTTGGTTCTCTGGGCAAGCCTCAAAGTAATTCTGAGCAGTCTAGGGATGGGTGAAGCCCTCTAGATACCATGCACCAGCTGGGAACATCAGCTGTGCTTGTGCTTCACCAGAGGTCTATGTGTCTCGGTGCTTGGGGAAAAGAAATGCAGCAGGTGCCTTAATGTTTTGCCCTCCTCTCTAAGATTTACCCCTAGGCAAGAGATTTAGAATGTATCCTCAGTCCTTTAATGCAATAACACAATGGCTTTTTAAAACCTTTGATGTTTATCAGAGTAACTGCTGCTCCTTATGCAGCGTCAGAAGCTGCTTGAAAGGGTTTATCTGACTTCCCAGAGCAGCTTTTCAGGAGGCATGGAGTACTTGGGTGGGAAGCTGGGTGCTGAAAACCCCGTAGTGCGAAAGCTCCACCTGTGTCTTTTCAAATCTTGCCCTGAAGCTTGAGCTGCTGCAACTACTTTGAGGATTAAGCTTAGAACCTACTCTTTTCACTCTGTAAATGAATTCCATTTTTTAAAAGGCAGTTGTCTTTGGGTTTCATTTCTATTTGATAAAGTCTCACTTGCTCAGAGCAGAGCCTGACCTTAATGTCAAAGAGGTGTACAGCCTCAAAGAGTTATGGTTAAAGGGAAGGGACATAGGGATGTTTGGATAAAGGCATGTGACAGCCATGAAAGAGGGACCAGTGTCGAAGCTTTGCAGGGTGCTGGGTAGACTACAGCAGTGTTTCCCAACCGGTGTTCCGTGGCACACTAGTGTGCCGCGAGACGTTGCCTGGTGTGCCGTGGGAGGGAGGTGGGCGAGTCGGGCGGCGAGAGGCAGGGCGGTGGCGGCGAGAATCCGCGTCGAGCCGGGGGCGGCTCCGCGGTGGTGTGCCGAGGTTTCTCTCTCCATTCTCCCCTCACACACACACACAGGAAATAACACAGGATCAGCTGACAGGACCCGGCCAATGGGGCGGCGGCGGGGCAGCGCGCGCAAAAGGGAGGAGCGCGAGACGGCGGCGGGGCAGGGCGGGAGGGCGGCGCATTGCGCGTGCTCAAACCCGCCCTCCGAGGCGCAGAGGGGAGCTGGGCAAGCGCCTTCTTCAACCACGCGCTCGTTTAAAGAGGCAGCGCCCGGGCGGAACAGAACTCTGTGCCTCTCGCCTAGGGATGAAGGTGGGCACCGGCTTAAGCCAGTAGTAGCCTAATAATGCATTAACTTCCGTGGGACTTCCAAGTAAACACAGTAGCCCAGCGCCTCCCTCCCCAAAAGGAGGGGGAATTACAGCAGCGCAGGCGACTCCTGCGTCTCCCCGATATTTAAGGCTGCCATCCCTCGTGCACACTTACGCGGGAGCAAAACCCCGTGAACAAACTAGGGCTTACTCCAGAGTAAATATGGGTAGGATCTGGCTGCAGTTGTACAAGAAGAAGCAATTGATAACGTTTTCGCGCCTTCGGGATTGCCTTCACGCCTTCCTCCTCCCGGGTCCTTGAGAGCGCGGGAAGCGGCAGCGCGAGACCGGCGTTGAGCCTGGTAGGTATTGCGCCTGCCAAGGCAGTCATTTGGGAAATGAAAACTTGCAAAGCAAGCAACCAGTTCAATCTGAAGTACGTGTATGCTTAATATCCTGTATCTGAAACCTGTTCTGCCCCCTCCCCCACACTTGGTGCCATTTTCATCTACACATGCAGCAGAGTAAGTTGACCCAGAATAGTACCAATTCAGATGGGAGAATGACAGTGCTGAATGCTTTCCCATGTAGAACAGTCCCTGCAAATAAAAACCTAGCATATTTGGAAGAGGGATGCTAGCCTAACCATTACCTTCTATGCTGTTACTATTTTTTAATTTTTTTTTACATAAGTAAAAAGTGACCTTTCCCCATCTGGCATGGTGGTGTGCCTCGAGATTTTTTTCATGAAACAAGTGTGCCTTTGCCCAAAAAAGGTTGGGAAACACTGGACTACAGTATACTGGAGAAATGTATCCCCCTAGAATGTCAATTCAGTTGTCCCCCATCTTACATTTGTTCAGCTGGTTCTTCCTGTCTAAGTGCAACACCTTACATTTCTCCCTATTGAAATTCATTTTGTTAGCTTGGGCCCAGTTCTCCAATCTGTTAAGGCAGCGGCGTAGCGTGGGTTGTCAGCACCCGGGGCAAGGCAAGTAATTTGCGCCCCCTGACCCGTGGATTTGCACCCCCTAACCTGTGGATTTGTGCCCCCTAACCCGTGGATTTGCCCTAACCCCAGATGTTGCGCCCGGTGCGGCTGGCCCCCCTGCACCCCCCACGCTACGCCACTGTGTTAAGGTCATATTGAATCCTGATTCTGTCATTCCTGGCACTGGCTGCCCCTCCTATTCAGTTGTTGGACACCTTCTCAATAAATAGGGCTCAATTACCTCAAAAGCTGTTGAAAGTTGAATCCAACTCTTTGCTGGTACAGGTGTCCCCCCTCTTACGCACAGTCGACTGTGCATATGCATGGCACCAGGAAATAAGTAAGTAAGGAAGTTTTAAACCAGGAATTGGCAAAAGATAGTTGGGAAGTTCTCATGGCTCATGAGGCGCAACAGGACTTTGTTTTGGCTGCTTAGCCTCCCCGCCTAGCAGCTGACACGAATGGTAGTGCAATAGCAGAAGCAGCCACTTTTCTCTGCGTCCTCCAGCCGGTCCCACAGCTTCACCTGTAGTTGAAGAGAGAGTTGTGTGGAGAGAGTGGGAGAGGTTGCTGGAGAGCAGGGGAAAATAGCCATTTACAGGGTTTTTAGGGGGTGCTCCCCACTTATGCGATATTTGCTTATGCACAGCGGCCTCCAGAACGTTACCCCTCCTAAATATGTGTGTGTGTGTGTGTGTGTGTGTGTGTGTGTGTGTGATGCTTGTATTCAGACTTTGATCATGCCCTAATTGGTTTATCAGGGTTTGGAATGACAGTTAGGAACTGCTGTAATATTAAGGGAGAAGAGTTGGAGTAAATAATTTGCATAAGTAGATTTGTTATGCAATTACTAGGTTTTACAGAACATTGATGCATAAAATATTGGAAGTGAAAAAGAGAAACTACAGAGAAAGTTGCTTGCCAGACAATTTTTAAAGTTAGATAATTCAGCTGTTTCAGATTTATTTTTTTAAAAAAGAATTTTCATTACCAGAAACACAAAAGGATGTCAAATACATTTCATAAAATATTTTGCTTGTATTTTAGAAAGTGTTTTCTTCATAAGCAGGACTCCCCATTGCACATTTTTCACTAAAGTAGACAATAATATTTTGTGCTTGTTAACTTGCTTCTGGATTTGTATTTGTATGAGGGTTCAGTTATAAAAGGACTGTGCTGCCTTTTTCTTGCCCATTCATTTCCCTCTTTTGAGCTAAGGGAACTTAATTTCTTTCTTTTTTTTGAAGAATTTAGGCTGATGTGAATTTTAAAATATATATTTATTTTGAACTGAGATCCAGAGGCAAAATGGGGCTGCGTGCAGAGTATTAAATGTTTGCAGCTTCTCTCTCTATAGTGGGTGAGTGTGTACATTGCAAAAATGATAGGGAAATGCACCCATCTCTAAACAGTGCAATACTGTGGGCATCATTTTCTTTTGATTACCTACAGATGCAAGTTTGTTTCTATGTGTGTGAGGTTATCCATAACTTCCCCTCCTCTAGCAGGACAGCCCCACTGCCCAGTATCCTAGTCCACCCCATTTGGAATGGTTTCCTGACCTTTAGGAATGACTGGGAGGGGCAAAGGGGACTGCAGTACAGAGGGGAAATCCCGCTCTGGGAGCTTCCTTCCAAGTATAGTTGCCAAGATCCATTCTTATACACAAAAGGATCTCAGAAAAATGACCATATATCTAAAATCCTCTCCCTGAAATATCTAGGCTTAAAAGAATAATAATGCTATCTAATTATAATTCAGTGATCTTTAGAAAAGCAACTACATTTAAATTGTATATTTCTAGCCAGGTTCACATTCCTGTTCAGATGCTGTGGTTCAGTATTTTATGTGTTTGTGGAAAGCTGCTGAGCAACGTACAGAATTCTTAGGGATTACTTTTGGCCTCTGTTAATGGCCAGGATACCAGGGACCCCTTGAAGGCTGCACCTTTCTGTCCCTGGGAGGAGAATCACAGCAAAGAGAAGACCACCCTGGCCACATCCACTGGCCAAAAAAGCAGCAGCTGTAATGAGCTTTATTTACCTCTCCCTGCCAGAAAGAACATTTGGCTTCAACTGCCAGCTGATTTGGAACATTTATCAGTCAGAGGGGAAAGTGGCTCCTGTCTTTGTGTGTGTGCACTGATCTCTGATGATGCAGTAATTTATATTCCATCCTTCCTCTAAGAAGCTCAAAGCAGTAAACACGGGGCTATTCGGCTCTTTTTGCTATAAAGAGCCTTGTAAAAGAAGTTGGGATAAGAGAGTGCTGCAGTCCTCCAAGCACTTATCATTTCTTTGCTTATTTTTCTTTGATATAGAAAGTCTTAATAAACTGTTCTTAGAAATGAAAAAGACAAAAGAGATTGCATCAGTCCTATGGTAATTTAGTGAGCGTCATTTGAACTTTGGCCTTTCTGGTTCAAATCCAGGACACTCAACTGCACCTTCCTGCTCTGCATCCCGGGAGCATGGCAACACAAGTGAAGAAACCATTCATAGTTATCCTTTTGGCAGTGAAAAATGTTGGGTGCCTCCTGCTTGCTTTGGAAGCTTTTTAAAAGTTGAAATGTGATTTAGAAGCCCCGGGATCAAACACCTGTTTTAAAAGTAGCTTAGCTGTCTTTGCATATTTACTTAATCTGTAAGATCCAGCTTGGAGTTTCCTAGCTCTTGGGAATTGACAAGGCTTTACTGTTAAAAGCATCTGAACTTTTCTTGCTCTTTTATTTTCTTCCCCTCCAGGCAAGAGGAGCAGACATCCCTGAGATTTCAGGAGAACTACCATTGCGGACATGTGGCAGCACAGCTAGCATGAAAGTGAAGAATGTGAAAAAGTAAGCTGCTTTGTCTCATCATTGTCATTTTTGTAGCTTCTGGGCTCTCGGGGGTTGAGTCCAAGGTACCAGTCAATTTTTTACTGTTGTGCTTAAAAACAAACAAACAAATTAGTGTTATCCAAAGGCAACAGGAAACAGGTTCATATTAGCTGAGAGCCCACCCACACTTTCAGTGCTTCTTAACTTGTTACAGCTGAAAACTAGGAAAGAACAACAGGCAATTATGCACTTCCTCTCCCTTCTCCACAATTCCTTCAAGTAATCTTTTATTACCAGCTGTTTTGGAGTAATAATGACTGAACTGAATCCGACAATATGACCTGGTGCTGCTAGTCTCTAACCATTGGGCCTTAGGGTCATGTACTCCCTTCCTCTCGCTAATACTTTCTCTTAAGTGTCATTAATCATGGCTAATGGTTACATCTCCACAAACTTGAGTTAAAACTGCTTGTCTGCTTTTGTTTCTGTCTACTCAACCCTCTAGACTCAAGCTTCATATGGAGCAATAAACTAATTATGATCTTGTCAAATGATACATAACACTAAACTGTGGTTAGCATAAAGTATGGTTTGCCTCTTCCCTTCTGGTTTCTAACCAGCTTGCAACAGCAAACCCTGATTTATATTTCAGGCATCAAAATAGGCCACAGATAAGCATTCTTTAATCTGTGTGGTATGACATGTTGTCTAAAATAAACTTAAAATATCATTCTTACGTGTAAGAATGAAGTGGGTCTATAACATTAATTCAGAAAAAAGATTTGCCTTTATTAACAGAAGTTGGGGGGGGGGTATTTCTTCCAAGTTCCATGCTAACTATATCTTTGATTGTCCTCCTTTCCCTTATTTTGTTCGCTTGTTCCTCTGTTTTTCCTGCCTTAAGCAGAATGCAGGCCTGTATAATCTGCTAGCTGGATTTGTGCTTGACCCTTCTTTAGCTATAATGTTGATTTACGGTTCAGAGGGCTGTCCGACATAGATGGATTTATTCAGAACACCCATCTATCATCTGCTGATTCTCATAGAAAAGCTGATGACCCTATTTTCTAGTAGGGAGAAGCCAGATGCTAAATCTCATTTCCCTCTTAAATTCCCATGGGAAGAGTGAGTGGTGATCACAATCTTCTTGTTTCACAACCGGAATATTTGCTCTAGGAGGTAAAGCCAGCTTCAGCACCTGCTTAAATATAGCCTCATTACACCAGAAAATTTATGCAGTTGGGATGCTTGAAAGGCACTTAGGATGCATACGATTTAAACTAGACAAAGAATTTTAAAAAAATTCTCTTACCCCTCCTGCCCCCTCCCCCAGATCTACCAATCCTGGACTGATGGGCTGTGATTCCTTTCACAGGTAAAATTCTGGTTTCATTTGTTCTGATGGTGTAAGGGCACCCATGTTGCTTGACTACCCCCTCTCCCATGGCATTTGAGGATGAACACCTTGTCCCTGCGTCTTCCCTTTAGGCACTGGTGTTCAGTGGGTTGGAATGCACTGTTCTGTTAAAAGCCTGGGACAGATGAAACTTAACAGTTTGCATTCCTTGTAGTCTTCTTTTCCTCACTGCTTCCTTGTGTCACATTGACAGCACTCCCTGTTTTGTTTTACTTGGGATTATTAGGTATCCTAATAATACTTTTGGTATAACCTGTATCTAACTAAGGCAGTGAACTTTAATTGCTGTGACGTTCTACGTCTCATCTGTTACTTGTGTTTCAGGTTATCCTTTACCAAGGGCCACTTTCCAAAGATGGCAGAATGTGCACACTTCCATTATGAAAATGTAGACTTTGGCAATATACAGGTGAGTTTCCTGCCAATGGCATTTTTCTGTTAAGCTGACATTAGTTAACTACATGCAGTTTGGCGAGCTCTATTATAAAGCATGTTATTATTAGGGAACATGTATGTTCACAGTCCACAGGCTGTGAACGTTGTCTACGCCCACCCACTGGTGGTTCTACTCTTACATCTTCTGACTGTTTTGCAACCTCCCTCCAACCTTCCTGCCTCTGTTTGTGCATTTCACATTCTCCCATTCTTCTTTGGATTGGGGCAATCCTGTTTTGAATCTTTATTGCTTCCACATATTTGAATGAGTGTGATCTTCTTTTTCCTAGTAATAATGGGGTGAGTGTGTGACTATTGGACTCTGCAGCACATTTAAAGTGCCCTTGTGTTTCTAATTGAAATCAGTTCTGGCCCCCTTTTGAATAAGTGTTTACTGTTAAATGTAACTCAGGAATGTGCAACAAATAATCTAAATCTGAGTTTTTTATTCTACTCTCATTAAAGGTGACATGAATACTGAATCTTTCCACTGCATTAAACATATATTTCCACAGTAAAGCTATTATTGAAAGTGTTAAAATTGTGCATCCTGACTGATTAAATGGCTTGTATAAGGGAGTTGAATCACAGTCTTGAGACATAAAAGCAGTCTTCTGAATATTATCTGGCATTTCTGATAATGGATTTTTAATTGTGATCTTGCTCCTTGTTTAACAGCTTTTAAACACTTTCCAACTTTTAATAAACATAGCTTAAATAGGACTTTGGTTAAAAGCTTTGCTAAGTTCCCAATTACTCATTGTTCCTAATATTGCTAAAGCTAAACCAAAACCAACCAATGAAGCTGAATCTAGATCACGCTGCTCCCATGCGTGGTCCAAGGGCCACAAGTGGCCCTCAAGACCCTTTTGGGCTTCCCTCAGCAACATTTGACACCCGCCTCCCTAGTCCTTGCACTGTCTATGCGAAGCTGGGTAAGTGAGGCTCTGGGAAGGAGGTGTTAGGGCTCTGACAGGGTCCTCATGCCCCCTTCTCAGAGCCTAGTTAGCATTTTCCCAGTTTGGGGAAGGTGGTGGGAGAGTTCTAGGATAACACACAGCTTAACTGACTTTGGGAAGACAGCACGAGGCTGAAAGGATTTGCTGTAACTGCCAATCAGTTGATCAGTAGTTACAGCAAGGCCTTTTGAAATCTGTTTCCAGGTGTGATTTATATTCAAACTGCACCTGCGAATGGTTCCCCCCACCCTGTGACTGGCAGTCCAAATTACACCTGCCAATGGAAAACTTCAGTGGGCCTTACTCTCAGTTCCAATCAGCTGATCAAAGGTGCTGGTTCTCTGCACCAGTCAGTTGATTGGCACTGAGAGCAAGCTCTGTGGACTGCCCTGGGGAGTTTCCCATGCAGCCGATCCCAGAGGACAGTGCCAAACAGCGGATCTGTGTTGTCAGTGAGCCCCACTTGCCGCAGAACAATCAGGAATGCCCTTTAAGTTCCCAATTGTTCCTTTGAAGCCAGGTCTTTAGATGCCCCACACCTGACATCACATATGGCATCAAGTGTAGGGCAAGTGAGGGTGGTTTGGGAAAACAGCCTCTACTGGACCTAATTAAGCTCATGGGCTGGAGGTCCCCCACCACTGGTTTAGCTTGACATCTGAGCATAGCCAGTTACATTGTTTCAGTGTTACTTTTAAATGTGGGTTGAAAATGGAAATTGTTTTATTAACCGATGGAGGGGAAAAGGCTATTGGTGTGTTGTTGTTTGCATGATTACTTACATTTGGGGTGCAACATCTGAATTTGAAGCAAGTCGGTAGGACTGAAATTACTTTTACAAACATGAATTCTTAGATGTTTTACATGTTTACAATTAGTCACTAACAAAATATATAATGAAATATAGGGGACCCAAACAAAAAGAAGGGTATAGGTTAAATAATTGCTGCTCTTTCTTCTAAAATCAGGAATAATAACACTTGATGGATTTGGGTATTTTGTGCACGCCCTGAGATTCTGTTGGGTGAAGGGCAGCCTAGAAAAAAGCATATGAATGAATGAATGCATAAAAATATTTTCCAGAAAATCAGACAATATGGTTCCTCCCCCACTCTGTTTGACATTCAAGTCTTGGTTTGCAACTGAAGGTATTTAAACAGGCCTCAGCAAATCAAGCTTTAAAATGTTGTTTCCATCAATAAAGTCATGAAGCATATGTATTCTATTTTAGTTTAATATTCTGAAATGAAAAGCTCTTTATTCGTGAAAAAATTACTGAACAGTAAGACTGCTTTGGGATTAAAAATTAGTTAGCTCTGCATATCACAAAATTTACTGGAATACCATCCCTTCAGAAATAGGATGTGCTTTGCTGCTGTCAAGAGCAAGAATTCACCAGTGTATTGAGAGAGTAAATTATATTTATTATTGCATTAATCTTTCAAGACTGAGCTAGTGGATTTTACAGTGTGTGCCGAAAGGTCATTCTTCAAATGATAAACTTAAGTTTGCTCTATTGGTGAGTGTTTGTGTCATGGACCGGATGGACACAGAGGAGTGGTGGGCAAAACTGGCTGGAGAACCCCCAAGGGAAGAAGGCTCAGAGCCTGGGGAGTGATGGTGGGACAATGATGGGTGGTCACAGGGAGAAGAGGGAGAAGACTGGGAAGAGGAGGTATCAGAAGCTGAAAGAGTAACAGGGCTTAGAAGGGAGAGTCTTGTGGCAGAGAGAAGCCAATAATTGGATGCAGAAGCCGGAGAAGAGGGAGACCAAGAGGCATGGGTGTCTCCCTCTCCTGTTGCGACAAGCTCCCCTCCCCCCTGACTCCCAGATCCAGGAAAGGAATGAAATGGGTGAAGCAAATACAGGTTTCACGCAGGTACAGTCTCCCAATTGCTTGCAGCTCCTCTCCTCCTGGGCAGCCTCCTGAGCACATTACAGTCTTGAGGCTACTATTGCATGGACTACAATGGTCAGGACTACAGTGGTCAGGCTATCCCTATTCAGGAATGGCTGTAGTTGGTGAACCAAACAAAAGGCAGTTTTAGCCACTGAGGCTACCTGGGCCTTCAGAGAGCTCAGGAAGCAGCAGTAAAGATTGCACTCCCCCTGCCCTGGCCTCTGTCCGATACACTATTTCAGTGTTTCCCAACCTTTTTTGGGCAAAGGCACACTTCTTTCATGAAAAAAATCTGGAGGCACACCACCATTAGAAAATGTTAAAAAATTTAACTCTGTGCCTATATTGACTATATAAAAAGTACAGTGGTGCCTCGCAAGACGAAATTAATTCGTTCCGCAAGTCTCTTCGTCTTGCGAGTTTTTCGTCTTGCGATGCACGGTTTCCCATAGGAATGCATTGAAAATCAATTAATGCGTTCCTAGGGAAACCGCCTTCAGACCAGGTCCGGGGACAGTCTGTCCCCCGACCTCTTCTGAAGGCTGGGGTGGGGGACAAGGGCTTTTCTTCCCACTGCCAGCCTTCAGAAGGCTGTTCTGAAGGCTGGCGGTGGGAAGAAAAGCCCTTCTTCCCACCTCCTGCCCCGCAAGCTCCGGGGACAGGAGGGCTTTGCTGCCGACCGCCAGCATTTTAAAAGCCCCTGCTGTCCCGGGGCGATTTTAAAATGCTGGCGGGCGGGAGCGAAGTCTCCGCTGCCCCGAGGAGATTTTAAAATGCTGGGGGTCGGCAGCGAACGCTTCGCTCCCACCAGCCAGCATTTTAAGATCGCCCGGGGCAGCGGAGAAGTCTCCGCTGTCCCGGGAAGGCAGGCGGGGGGAGCAAATACTTTTGCCCCCGCCTGCCTTCAGAAGAGGTCCAGGACCTCGTTCCGATGCCCGGCGGCGGGGTGCGAGGTTCCCGCCCCACCGCCCGGCATCGGGGCATCGTTCCGATGCCCGGCGGCGGGGGGAGAGGTTCCCGCCCCACCGCCCGGCATCGGGGCATCGTTCCGATGCCGGGCGGCGGGGGGAGAGGTTCCCGCCCCACCGCCCGGCATCGGGGCATCGTTCCGATGCCCGACGGCGGGGTGAGAGGTTCCCGCCCCACCGCCCGGCATCGGGGCATCGTTCCGATGCCGGGCGGCGGGGTGAGAGGTTCCCGCCCCACCGCCCGGCATCGGGGCATCGTTCCGATGCCGGGCGGCGGGGGGAGAGGTTCCCGCCCCACCGCCCGGCATCGGGGCATCGTTCCGATGCCGGGCGGCGGGGGGAGAGGTTCCCGCCCCACCGCCCGGCATCGGGGCATCGTTCCGATGCCGGGCGGCGGGGGGAGAGGTTCCCGCCCCACCGCCCGGCATCGGGGCATCGTTCCGATGCCCGACGGCGGGGGGAGAGGTTCCCGCCCCACCGCCCGGCATCGGGGCATCGTTCCGATGCCGGGCGGCGGGGGGAGAGGTTCCCGCCCCACCGCCCGGCATCGGGGCATCGTTCCGATGCCCGACGGTGGGGGGAGAGGTTCCCGCCCCACCGCCCGGCATCGGGGCATCGTTCCGATGCCGGGCGGCGGGGTGAGAGGTTCCCGCCCCACCCCCGGCATCGGGGCATCGTTCCGATGCCCGGCGGCGGGGGGAGAGGTTCCCGCCCCACCGCCCGGCATCGGGGCATAGTTCCGATGCCGGGCAGCGGGGGGAGAGGTTCCCGCCCCACCGCCCGGCATCGGGGCATAGTTCCGATGCCGGGCAGCGGGGGGAGAGGTTCCCGCCCCACCGCCCGGCATCGGGGCATCGTTCCGATGCCCGGCGGCGGGGGGAGAGGTTCCCGCCCCACCGCCCCGCTTCGGAGCAGCGTTCCGAAGCGGGGCGGCTGGGGCAGGTGTTCCCGCCCCCCCCGCCCCGCTTCGGAGCAGTGTTCCGAAGCGGGGCGGCTGGGGCAGGTGTTCCCGCCGCCCCGCTTCGGAGCAGCGGGAGAAGCGATCTCCCCGCAGCCCCTTGCTTCAAAAGAGGTCCGGGGGCAGCGCGAAGCGCTTCCCGCTGTCCCCGGACCTCTTTTGAAGCAAGGGGCGGTGGGGAGAAGCGA